GTCTCCCGGGCACGCAAGGAGATCAACCCGGCGCTGATTCGGGCCTTCTACTCCAACCTCCGCCGTGAGGACGACGTGCTCTACTCGCTCGTCAAGAGCACGCCGATCGAGCTCACCGTGGAGCGGCTTGGACGCATCGCCGGCCTCCCCTTCCAAGGCGACGATGTGTCACACTATGGTGGAGAGGATTGGGTGCTCAACAACGAGGGCCTTATCCTCAACGAGCTTGGCATCACCGAGCTCAAACGCCATGCCTCAGGCCGCCCAACCATCCACTCCGCCAAACCCGAAGGCTGCCTGGTCCTCTACATCGTCACCCGAATCCTCAAACCCAGGAAGCACGGCCACACCATCATGCACGGTGAAGACCTCAAACTTATGCACGCAATCATGCACTCGGCCCCAATCAATTGGGCAAAGTTTGTCATGATCAACATGACGATTGCTGCGTCCACCGAGCACGACCACCTCCTCCCGTACCCATTCTTGGTGATGGACATCCTTGAACGGTTCAGGCTAACCACCACCATTGGCTCGCTCATGAAGGCCACGAAGATTTGGACAATTAGTAACCAAACCTTCCTCAAGCGGTCGGACAACACCGCGGCTGCCACTGCCGAGCCACGCCGCACTGCCCCTGCCGGACCCCAGGCCCGAGCCAACCTTGCCTCCATCGCCGACTCCCTCAACCGGCTCCACCTCAAGGTTGACGGGATGGGGAGCTATCTTGAACGGCTCGACGTGGCTGTTCAACGCCAAGGATACGCCATGAACGCGTACTTCCAAGGCATCAACTACGTCCCGCCACCACTCCACGGCACCTTTCTCGGCGAAGTCTACGGTGATGAAGACGAAGAGGATGAGTCCTTCGCCCAGTCAAGCTCCCCGGACGAGGATCAGTTTGACGATGCCGTTGATGGTGATGAGATGGACGTCGACGACGACGAGGAGGAAACCGAAGACGAAGACTAGGACTCCCCTAGAACTTCTATCTCTTTTACTTTAATTATCCTGTTTTTTTTAATACTTCCGTTGTACTCAGCTATTTCCCTTTATTCAATAAAATCATTTTGGTTATCTTTTTGTTAATGTCAAAAGGGGGAAGAAAAGGGGTATGCATATACTAAGGGGGAACGTCTCTCTAAACGAGACCGTTTGATTTTAATCCAAGTAAATCTTTTTTAAGCACAAATTAAGGGGGAACTTTTTCACAACTTTTTGAAAAACAAACATCCCTTAGTATGCATATCCCCGTCTTGTTTGCCATTATCAAAAAGGGAGAAATTGTTGGAACACGGGTTTACGCCTTCGTCGTACTAAACTGTGTTCGTTTATGACAGGTTTTGATAATGCCAAACCGCCGCGACATATCGAAGCTAAAGTGAGCAAAACTAAGGCGAAGGAACATGGCATGATGACTAGAGAACCAAGAACCCAGAATCAAGAACGAAGAACTAGAATTGTATTGAGTCGGTCTTTATGTGATCAAGACCGTCACAAAATTCCAAATCTTGGCTCTCTAGGCTTAATTCATAAAAATCTCTTTTACATATTCAAAAATACCTTTCTTAAAGTTTAAACTTGGGTCAAAACACTTGGAGTTCGCCCAAGCCAAAAACCAAGCCATCCGGCGTTCGGCTTTCAGAAACCGGCGTTCGGCTTTCGGTTTTCAGCATCGGTTTTTGGCGTCCGAACCAACCAAGTGGCTTTTAACTTTTTATAACTGGTTTTTACTTCTGGGCATATTTAAATGGTTCTCCAACAAAAACGCCTCAAAAACCACCTTCCGTTTTTGGTCGTTTAGTGAAAATCATGCAAAACGGCACGAACCTGGCTAGCCATGGTTTTCAACTAAATGACGTGGTTTTTAAGATGTTTTACTTGATTTCTTAGCAAAATGCAATAAACAAATGTTTTCTAAACTTGGTTTTTATTTTGGAGAACTTGCGTTTTTGACATCGGCTAACGGCGTGACTAAACCAACCATGGTCTAGCTAAACCAAGCCCAACAACGATGTTGGGGTAATCAACAGCGCTGTCTGGCCTGGGTAACCAAAAACATGGTTTGGCGTTAAGTCTTCCAACAGCGATGTTGGACTTTAGACATCGCTGTTGAGCCAAGGTTGGCTTCCCAGAAACTTCTGGAACAGCGATGTAGGCTCCCCTACAGCGCTGTCCAACCTAAGCCAAAAATATAGTGCATTGGCAGAAAGTTTTTGGACAGCGATGTTGACCCAGCAACAGCGCTGTCAGGCCAAACTTCCATCTTCAAAAGTCAGACCTAAACAGCAATGTTCAAGTTATAGACATCGATGTAGGGACCTGACCGTTGGAAGGAATTTAAGGCTAAAACTTTCCTTGTTTGGAAGTCAACAGCCAAAACAGCGATGTAGGGGTTTTTGGACATCGCTGTTGGCATGATCGTTGCTTCCCAATTTTTAAAAACCAAGCCTAGAACAGCGATGTCCAGGCCTAGGACAGCGCTGTCTAGGTGATTTTCAGCAGATCCAATTTTAATCAAATCCCACAAATTGTGCCAATCACCCCTTAAATGTTTTGGTCCGTTGGAGCCTATTTTTCCACTCTAAAATGGGGTGTTTGGGTCTGTTTTACACATCACATTACTTCACAACTCCTACTCTTTCATTGCAAATCATCCTTCAATTTTTCATAGCTTTTGAGAGCCATTTTTGTGAAGCTTTGTGCTGTGTTCTTGAGCGTTATTAGTTTACTCATTATCCACTCTTAAAGAGAGTATTGTTCTTGAGTGTACTCGTGTTCTTAGACACGTTGAGAGATAGTATCTCTCTTGGTTGATTCAAAGGAAGGTCTGTTTCCTTTGAAGGATTCGTTGAGGTTCGTGTGACTCGAACTCTCAAGTTGTAACGGTTTGTTAAGCACCCGTAAGCTTAACGAGATAGTAGTGTAGCTCGAGAGAGTCTCTCGGGAGGCTGGATTAGCCACAAGTTGTGGNCTTGAGCGTTCTTAGTTTACTCATTATTCACTCTTAAAGAGAGTATTGTTCTTGAGTGTACTCGTGTTCTTAGACACGTTGAGAGATAGTATCTCTCTTGGTTGATTCAAAGGAAGGTCTGTTTCCTTTGAAGGATTCGTTGAGGTTCGTGTGACTCGAACTCTCAAGTTGTAACGGTTTGTTAAGCACCCGTAAGCTTAACGAGATAGTAGTGTAGCTCGAGAGAGTCTCTCGGGAGGCTGGATTAGCCACAAGTTGTGGTGAACCAGGGTAAAATCGGTGTGCCTCTTACTCTTCTCTTTACTTCTCGTTTATTCATTTTTTATTCCTGCGATTTTTTGATCAAACGCTATTCACCCCCCCCCCTCTAGCGTTGGTCTATTGTTCTAACAAAAGGTGTGATGGTGTCATGGTCCTCATTGTCAAAGTCCTCAGGCTCCCAAGAAGGATCAGAAATATAGGGTAAGAAAGAGTCATCTTGACTCCCAAAGGGGTTAGTTGGAAAGAGGAGGGATGTAGGGAATTATCTCTTGGCAGGAGTGGATAAAGGAAAGAGAGATTTGGGGGGAAGGGAGGGGGTGGCAATGGGGGGGTTTGGGTTTGCAAGGGTGAAGGTGGTAGGGCCCAGCACTTGGGGATAGGTGATTCATCATCTGAGGTGTCTTCCACAATGGGAGGGAGTAGGGGCATACAAGGCTGGGGAAAAGGTTGGGGACAAGCTGCCAAAGAGGAAGTGGAAGTCCCAGGGGTACCAGGGTTCTTGGAATGTAGCTGTTGGTGAGAAATAATAATGGAATGTTGGGAAGGGAGCTTACTGCAGGGAGGGGGCTTTGGAGACACAGCAAGGCCGGGTTTTAGACGTTTCCTGGTGACCATTTTCCATTCTTGAATCTGTGGAATTGAACTCCCCGCTCCTCGATGGCCCACCACCACCACCGGACCTTTCCTCCGGCAATGGGAAAGGAGATGCCCAAATCTATTACACTGTGAGCAGTAGGGGGGGTGTTCTTCATACGTGCAAGGCAGCCACAAATCTTTAGAGCCAAGTCTGACATGGATCTTAGGGGGTTTGGAAAGTGAGACATCCATCTCCACACAAACCTTGGCTGTGCCCAGGTAGATACCCATGGCAGTTTTAGCTCCCAACTTAATTGGTTTACCCAGGGCTGAGGCTATAGAGAAGAGAGGTTTGTGATCTGAAAGATGTAAAGGAATATTTCTAACCTCTACCCATAATGGGATAACAGGACAGTCCGAGCAGTGAGAGTGATTGGGAGTCCATTTGCATAGCGTGATAGTTGATGATTTTATCTTCCAGCTTCTCCTGTGAAACCAACGAAGATAGTCTTCTTCCCTCTTGAAGATGAAGAGTATCTCTTGAGTTTTCAGCCTCCTTAGCTTGAATTCCTTAAAACCCCCGTTTATTAGGAAATCTTCAATGTCACGCATGTAGATTTTTGAGCTACACCTTCCAATTACTGCTCTGCTGAAATTTTCGGCAAGATTCTCTTCTTCTTCCACCGTGAATTGCACTGAGGGGGCTGTATGGTACATGCCGCATAGTTTCCTTGGGGTCTTAACTCTCTCCCCTTTGAACAGATCAGAGAAAAGGGTTTTTCCACTATTATTGTGATGGCTGGAGATGGCCGCCGGCGGTGTGCCGGTCGCCGGAAAACTAGAGAGAGAAACAGCCGCCATCTTCATATATATATATATATATATATATATATATATATATATATATATTTTGGATCATGTGAGAATGCAATCTTATGAAAGAAATAAGAATGAATCTGGTGCTTTAGATTGTGAGATCTCAGGGTTAGGATTGCATCAAAAATAGATGCACCAAAATGGTTTGAAAATGCATCAAAATCCCTTAAAAATGCACTATCTCAAAATCTGAGTGCAGGATGCAATCTGGGCCGCACGATGCATCAGATCCAAAGGCTGGATTTTATTCTTATTTCTTTCACCAAGGTGCATTTTCACTTGAACCAACCCCTATATATATATATATATATATATATATATATATATATATATATATATAATGTTGGGTTATGGAACCCAAGCTTAGGGGAAGAAGGAGAAAATGTGTAAGGAGAAGAAGAATAAGGATGAAGAAGATGAATAGTGTAGCCTCCCTCTTTTCCCCCCTCTCCCCTCTTCCAAGAAGAGGGTATAAATATGGAGAATGAGGGCTAGGGTTTCGAAGTAATGGGCCGGCCCAAAAGACTAAGCCGCCCCAAATAACAAATATGCGACTAATGGGCTGGCCCTACAGACTGGCCGCCCATAAATAAATAATTAATGAATGACTAACAGGCCGGTCCAACAGACTGGACCTCCCCAACTAATATTATACAAAGTCCGGATACCCCATGTCTAGGGTATCCATCATGAGTCCCCCACTTTCCAAGCCGAGAGGAACTCGAGGTGAAGTGGAAGTAGAGCAAAAATCCACCACAGAAGGACACCGTCTTCCTTGCTGTCTTGAGTGCACCGTTAACTCGCTGTTCCGAGCACGGTGAAGTAAGGCAAGCAATGCCATCAGTCGAAGAATGTGATGCACTCGCAATCCAGAGTAAGGCAAAGGGAAAGAAAATGCAATGACAGAAAATGCACCAATGAGTACGAGGTGCGCTACCGACTCGCTACCCAGAGTGGCAAAGTGAAAGAAATTGAAGCAATGAGCATGAAGTGCGTTGCCGACTCGCGATCCGCATCGGCAAGGTAAAAAGTTTGCCTCAATTTGCTCGTCTCTAAATGATCTGCTCTCGTACAAAGTACATCGTCATCTTGCTATCCAGAGCTCAACAATTACCATATAAGTGGGTGAGGAAGTCGTAATATGTGGTCCATTTGTCGTCTTCAAAAATCCTCCCACAATCCCGTCAATGTGTGACCCACTCCACGGGGATGCCTCATTAAAAACTTGCCGAGGAAAAAACCCGTGAGGATGGGAAAAAATCCTCGGTCAAGAAAAGAGTACACCTCGTCCCACAGAGTTGATCAAGAAAAACATTATAAGGGTGTGAGTTCTTCGAGTAAAGGAATTGTGTGGATCTCTGAAGAGGCGATCTTCAAGTCCCCCAGACTCGTTGTCCGGAGTCGAGGGCTGTTCGCCATAAATTATTGCCAAAAAGTACATGCCGGTAAGAACTACCGTAGTGCCACGTTAGATCGAGATGTCGATCTGCCCAATTCTCACGGTGTGGGATGTAACAATCACGAGCCGAGTACCCGGAGTCCCCCACTCCCTAAGCCGAGGAAGAATTCCGAGGTGAAAGGGAGTAGTGCCCACGCTCGGCTCTGGTGGGAGTCTTTGGTCCCCTCGCTCTGTGGCGACTTCCTTTCATATAATGATTTACCTGAAAAAATCTCAAACAAATGCAAATAATGTGATGGGCTTGGCCGATCAGCCTGGCCAGGCCTTTCCATTCTATGAGTAATTAAGACTGTGCCCTAGAAAGTGGGCTAGGGGGTGTGCCTTGGGACGGCATTGAAGAGTGCCTCGGGAAGAGGATTTAGGATGCCTCGTGGGACGAGGGTGTATATACCTTGCTTGTGAGGCGGTCAAGGCCAACCTCGGGAAAGTAGTTGAAGTTGTTTCGGAGATAACTGTAATGCCTCGTGAGGTGGTCGAGGTCGACCTCGGGAGAGGGCTTTTGGTTGCCTCGAGAGATGAGGGTTTAAATGCTTGCAAGGTGACCGGGGCCGACCTCGGGAAAAGAGTCAAGTGTCTCATGAGGTGGATGGGACCAACCTCGGGAGAGGACTTTGGGATGCCTCGGGGGACGAGGACTTAAGTGCCTCGCGAGGTGGATGGGGCCGACCTCGGGGAAGGACTTTTTGGTGCCTCGGGAGACGAGGGCTTTAGGTGTTTTGCGAGGTGGCTAAGGCCGACCTCGGGAAAATATGGAGTGCCTCGTGAGGTGGATATGACCGACCTCGAGAGAGGGCTTTTAGGTGCCTCGGGGGAAGAGGGCTTAAGCAACTTGCAAGGTGGCTGAGGCCGACCTTGGGAAAAGATGAGTGCCTCGTGAGGTGGCTAGGACCGACCTCGGGAGAGGGCTTTTGGGTGCCTCGGGATACGAGGGCTTGAGTGCCTCGTGAGGTGGATGGGGCCGACATCAGGAGAGGGCTTTTGGGTGCCTCGGGATACGAAGGCTTAAGCAACTTGCAAGGCCGACCTTGGGAAAAGCTGAGTGCCTCGTGAGGTGGCTAGGACCGATCTCGGGAGAGGGCTTTTGGGTGCCTCGGGATACGAGGGCTTAAGCAACTTGCGAGGTGGCTGAGGCCGACCTCGGGAAACGGTTGAAATAATGTCGTATGTGAGCTCTCTAGGCAGGCTCTGTTGCAAATGTCATGTGGTCTTCCGCTTTGAACCTGAAAGACAAAATATGAAAAATTCCTTCGTTGTTGTTTTTTTGTTGAGCGGCGTGGTGCCGGTGACGCGTGGTAGCGTAGAAGTGCGATCTCAGCAGATCTAATATTTGTCCTAAGCAGGACTGGCAAGTTTTTTTCCTAAGCAGGAACTTGAGATACCCTCGGGAGGGATTTGCTCGCGCAATGACGAGGATCGCGTGAGGCCATATCGTGGCGTGGATGCCCGATGATGCACAGCTGCATAAAGTTGCATAGAAGCGAACACGAAATCGCGTGGAAGCGATATATTTTTTTTGATTGATTTTTCTTTTTCTTTTCTTTTCTTTTTTTTGATGAAATACCCAAGTCGTAGAAGCAAACATGGCGCAAATCTGAGTAGTGGCGCAAAATCAGAACATGTACTCTGCCAAATGAAGAGAAGAATGGGACAAAATTCACAAAGCCCTTCAAGTTATTTTGAATCAGCAGCCGAACGTAGTGCACTCGGCATCAACAGACTCGGCCGGCTAAGATCACCATTGCCGAACGTGATCTTACAACACCGCCGCACGAACTCTGCTTGGCATGATCTTGCACTCGGACTCGGTCACCCTCCCATGCTCGGATTGAGCTCAACCAAAAATTGTAAACTCGGCCCCTGGAAATGGTCACGTACTCGGCCATACCTGTGCACTCGGTCACATGAGATTTTGTCCCAGATGCATAAGAGGGAGGGTGAAAAACATAGAGTCTTCTAAAAACCCGAGTGAAGAAACCAAATCGGTGACGATGGACGTTGGGCATTTCTCAACGAGGTTGCCCCAACAGCAAATCCCAATTAATGGATCCCTTTCAGCTATTTGTCTTTGTATAAATTTTAATTAAAATGCACAAAACTATACAGAACATGAATTGACCATGGTTCCCCCGGTCCAAACTTTGAATTTTGGTTCCTTTGTATCTAGTCCTCTTTTCCTTAAGGAAATCCGAGCGCATTAATGTGAAAATAATAATTGGAGAACGATAGTTGCTAACCTTCAAGTTGATGCGTATGATTAGAAGAGAAGAATCCCCAATAATTCAAACATGAGGTTCCGCCATTGGCTTGCGTGAATATCATCCACACACACCACTTGCTCCATCCTTTTGCATTTTACAGTGAGTAATAATACGGAGTAGTTTCAAAAGCATCATATCTACCTCCAAAAATGACACTCCCTCCGTCCCCCAGTTTTTGTCCACTTTTGACTTTTCGAACGGTTCATCTAAGCACTTTGACTCATCAAATTCTTTCAATGTGTAGGCCTAAATATATCCATGTGTAATCTTGTTTGATTTGTCTTAACATATAGATTATTAATATATAATTTCTATAATTTTTTAATATACAAATTACAAGATAAAATGGATTAAAGAAGTGTATTGTATGGTGTGTAAAAATGAAAGTGGACAAATACTCTAGGACGGAGGGAGTAATTGCTTTTTCACGTGACTTTGTTCAAGTCCACTGCTATAGCCTCTATGCGACTATGCCACTAGCTTTCCTGTTTTTTAAGACAGTAATAATAAAAAAGAGGAGTATCCCCACTTGCCTGACTTGATGAGCTAGAGCGCAGAGCACTATGGTGACTGGTTGCCGGTGACATCCAAAACCCATCACCGAAGAAACCTCCCATGCCGTCGACTGTCAACTGCACCTCCACTTGCTGAATTCCGAGCTCGAATTCAAGAGTTCTCCGTTGATTTAATTGACTTTGTCTGATTTCTTGGGTTGGGGTCTGATTGGGACCTCAAATTCCCAACCCCAATGTTTGACCGGGATTGGAGATGGGTGACCGGGATGGTTACCTCGAGTATGCTCTGATGTTTGGGTCCTCATCGCCGTGTGCGCAGATTTGCTCTCTCGAATTAACTACCCAGCGGGTAGATCGGGCAGAATAAAACTCAAGCAGGCTGCTCGGGAAGAAAACTCCGGCAGCAACACTCCGGGGAGCAGCAACACTTCGGGCAGGAACTCCAGCGGCACTCTCATTTGCTTCCAATGAACGGAGCAGAGCTGCGGAAGGAGCAGAACTATGCACCCATTAGGGCCGTGCAATTCCCAATAGAAAATCATCACTGGCCGCGGATCGGAAGGAGCGGGACACTGCTGCACCTATCGGGGTCATGGAGCAGACCACCATCATGATGTTCTTCAGGTTCTCCGCTGCATTGTGTCACCCTAGACTGTCACCGCTATTGCCCGATGTAATGCGAAGCTTGCCGGCAGCGTCGCGTGGTCAACCAGGTGATTGATCCGCAAATCTCTCTTTTCCCAACTTTGATTCTTTCTCTTTACAAGGCCGACTCCAATTGCTTCGAGTCGCTGCTGTATACATGGATGGCGGATGGTCGCTGCAACAAAGGGCGACTCGCCGGGGTTCGGGTGGTGGGCAGAACAATACTTCAAACAAGCCTGGGCTTAGATGCAATTAACAGTCCAGGTCCGATGACGGTCTAACGGAGAGTCACCCTCGGGCGAGAGATCCTCTCGACATTCCACCAACTTGCGAACCGGGCACAGAACCTCGAATTGAGGTCTTTCTACATCGAACGGCAGCTGGAATTGGAGTGAATCCGAGGTAGACTCATAAGCATTCGCCATGTCTCGTCTGCTCTCCAAATGGAGAACTGCCTGAATCGGGTCGGGTCGTAATCTGACCCAATTTCCTTGCGGCTTGAATCTGGATTCTCCAGGCGTCCATTTCTTCCTCGAAAGGAAGCACTTCATTTGGTCACCATGGCCGCACCTGGCTGCCCAGTGCTACACCCACGAAACTGGAAAATGAAACACCGGAGTCGATCTCTTCCTCCAAGTTCGTCATTCCAACAGGGCCGGCGGAGAACTGAATCTGCTATCCGATACCCTCGCGGTAATTGGTTCGCGCATACCGAGCATCACTGGTCCGGGCTCCGTCGTCGTAGTGCTGCTCCACGGAATCGCAGATTGGAACGCCGCTTGGAGGTCTTTGAACGGCCTGCAGGATTGAACGGCCGGATCTGGCTTCAATTTTTGCTTTCCGCGGCAGGAGGAAGTAAATCCAATAGAACCGGCGGACTTCTGTCCTAGAAAGTGCGGATGCTGCCTTGCCGACGGTACAGACCTTTTGGGATGAATTTCCAGATTAAGAAAAATAATGAATCCTCCAAATCTCAATTTGGGTTTTCCACCGTAAAAAGAAATCACGAATTTGGAGGATGAAAAATCAAAGGAAAAATTTAAGAGAGCACCATTATTGAAAGGGTAGGGGAAAAAGGAAAAAAATGTGTAAGGAGAAGAAGAATAAGAATGAAGAAGATGGATAGTGTAGCCTCCCTCTTTTCCTCCCCTCTCCCCTCCTCCAAGAAGAGGGTATAAATAAGGAGAATAAGGGCTATGGTTTCGAAGTAATGGGCCGGGCCAACAGACTGGGCCGTCCCAAATAACAAATATTCGACTAATGGGCCAGCCCAACAGACTGGGCCGCCCATAAATAAATAATTAATAAATGACTAACGGGCCGGTCCAACAGACTGGACCGCCCCAACTAATATTATACAAAGTTTGGATACCCCATGTCCAGGTATCCATCAATATATATATATATATATATATATATATATATATATACACATATATATATATATACATATATATATATATATACATATATATACATACATACATACATATATATATATATATACACACACACACACACACATATATATATATATATATATGTATATATGTATATATATATGTATATATATATACTAGCATATTTACGCGCGTTGCGCGGATTCTAGTGCCCGATCAAGGTTTACTTAACAATAATTCTAAAAATGTTGGGAATAACATTAAGGTATATAAGATATTTAAAGTTGATCAACATGGTTGATATATTCTAAATTCATAATAACGTAATCTAATGAATGACATGATTTTTGCATGTATGGACTTTGATATCAGATTTCATACATATCCAATAATGCCCCTGTCAGCATGATGGGTTTTTTTAGTTTGAATTGTATACCCATGCATATTAACAAGACATTGTATAAAATTAAAGTATTAGAGTGAATAATGTTAGCATAGTGTAGTTTAAAATTTTACATCTTTTTGTAATTCCAACAATGAAGTAGTGTGTTTTCAGTTGTATGCTTTGTGGAAGATTAAACGTTTTGAAATAATCATGGATGAACCATGAGCATAATGTTTGATGACCAAATATGTTGTTTTAAATTAGATGCTACCAAGTATGACTTGATAATACAAAAAATGCAATGTTTAAAAGTATAATGAGTTTTTTAAGACAAGAATTTATACAATGAAAAACAAAATTATATGTGACTTATTAATTTTCTAGTCTATATTTTTTAACCACACTCATTATAAGTAAATTATGTCTCTAATAATGATGTTCTAATGTTGTTCTTTTCAACAACATTAGAATGAACATTCTAATGCTCTAATGTTTGTTATATGAAAAATGAAAATCCTTTAAAGGATTTTCATTTTTCATATAACAAATTAAAACTTCTCATGTCCCATTTTAATTTTTAAGATAATTCATCTATGGATAAATTTTAATTTCCTACGTCTCTATTCTTGACTCGTACCTATAATTTTTATTTAAAAAATCTCTCTTCTATGAGAAATATATAGATAAAAAACAATCTAGATTTATGGTAACCTCAAAAAAACTAATTAAAATGAAGTTAAATGACAACACTTTTGCTTAATGAAATTATTTCATTCTTTATAGCCTATTCCCTTAATACGCATTTAATACACGTATTATATATACTTATGTACGTATAATATGCGTATTATATTTACGTATCCGTACGATTTTTAAAAATACTTTAAAATACACGAATATTTGATACTATACGTATGAATTGAATACTCCATTATAATTTTTTTGTACAATAATAAATATTAATTTGTTTCAAAAATATTTAAACAAAATACAAGTAATATATATTCCCTCCTTCCCATTTTACATTGCCTGTATTGAACTTGGGGCATATTTAAGGAAATGAAAAAATATTGTTGATTTTCCAAAAATGTCCTTACTTTTTTAGGGCGGTGACAAGAATGAGAAGACAACGTGGAGAGAAGTCACTTATTTTAGAGATAGTTTAGGTGTTTTACTCATAAAAGTTTGTAATAATAAGAAACAGACAATTTATTTTAGGAAGAACAAAAAAGGAAAAAAGACAATTTAAAATGGGACAGGGGAGTACTATCTACATTCTACAAAGAATTTTACACGTACTCTTTTGTCACTTTCAAAAAAAAGACTTCACTCTTTCTCTTTTTGTATGTCTCAAAAATTCATTTTATTTTTAGAAAAGAGAAAGTAACTCACAACTCTTATTTGTTTTTCCTAAATGTATTCACACTATAAAGTTTTTATTTTTAATTTTTTTAAAACTACGTACGTGAAAGTCAAATAAGGATATTTTTTCAAATGAGGAGAGTATATATATTTTTCAAATAGATATGTTAAATAAATAGAAGTTCTAATTTAAAAAAAAATCTATTGTAAATATTTCATTTAAAATTTTTTTGTATTTTTATATGACTATCAATCGATAAATATGTGTAAATTTGACGTATGTATGATAATATATATAAACATATAATAAGACGTATTTTAAAAATAGAAAACATTTGAAACGCGTACGTATCTGTATGTCGAACATTTAATATGCATAGTAAGGCATATTTTATAAAATCCTAACGTATTATACACGAACGTATGTATTTATGTATTATACGTTTGCCGTATATTACTAACTATGCTTTATACGGAGTAGAACACTTCTCCCTAAATAAAAGCTCTATACGTCCCAATTTGATTAGTAAACTCATTTTTTGAGGAAAAAACTCTCTACGTCCCAAGTTTTTAGTTGTACATAGTATTTTTTAAAAAAATTAATTATTTTTAATATTGGAAAACCAACCGATATTTCTGGCAATCATAAAAACACTAAATAATTTTAAAGTCAACTCAAATGAAAACACTTTTTCCTAAGTAAAAAGGTTTCATTCTTATGAAATTATTTTAAAATTTATAGTGTTAAAAAACTAAAAAATCATGAAAATTGAACACGTGGTAAATGAAAGTCATTTTGAATCATTTTAATTTATCATTTGACAAATAAAGACTCCCTGCGTCCCAAATTAATTTGTAAACGAATAATAATTTTGTTTAACCAATTTATTTATGAATTGATTTAAATGAACTTATATGAAAATATTCTCCCTAAACGATAATATTTAATTCTCATATAGCATTAAAAAACCCAAAAAAAATTGAGAACTGAGCGCATGGGAAATACAAGTTAATTTGAAAGATTTTCGTCTTTCATATAAAAATTAATATTACCTTCGTCCCAATTTAATTTGTAAATTTAATCTTAATGGAAAAATTTAACTCACTATATTCCAATTTTTGAGTTGTACCTATAATTTTATTTTTAAAAAAAACCTTATGTATTGTGAGTAGTGAACAAACAACCAAGAATATAATTATGGCAATCGAAAAAAGACTATAGTTTTTAGAAATAACATAAATGAAAATACTTCTCGCTATATAAAATCAATTCATTTTTATGAAACACTTTGGCCTAAATAAAAACTCTCTACATCCCAATTTATTGTAAACTCATTCTTCTAGTGACAAATTAAAACTCTCTACGGCCTAGTTTTTTAAGAATCCAAAAAACACTATTTTTTCAAAATCAACTTAAATGAAAATACTTCTACCCAAATGAAAACATAACATTCCATTCTTTTAAAATTATTTTGAAAATTAAATTGTAAACAAAAAATAATTAGAATTGAGCACATGATAAATGAAAGTCATTTTGAATCATTTGACAAATAAGAGTCCCCACATCCCAAAAATAATATATAAAAGTATTGATAATTTTGTTCAACCATACTGGAATTTTTTGATTGAAAGATATTGCATTCAAAAATTGATGAACTAAATTATAAAAACCTAAAGAATGTTGTTCGAATTATTTTGTAATTAGCAATGGAATGGTCTTCCAAATTCTTGAGTTGTACCTAATAAATTGAAAAAAATACCTACATAATTCTTATGCCATACACACACACGCACAGAAAATATATTTTATTAGAATTTAATAATGAAAAATCCCATATTCTTCAAAGAAAACTCTCAACATTGTAGATAACAAAAAAAACGTAAAAGCATTTAATCAATATCAATTATAAAGTAATTAATAGCAATTTGGAAATATAAATGTGACTTGAATTCTCAATTAAACATTCTAGTAACGGTGTAATGGCAATGTTGGAAATAAAAAATAGTGTGCAACATCCAAAGCATAATGTACAACTCTTTTGGATGGAAAAAGTGCATAAAATTAAAGGGGTACCTAACTCTCTTTCTCATTTATATAATATAGAGGATATATACATACATATACATATACATATACATATACATATACATATACATATACATATACATATACATATATATATATATATATATATATAGGTTCTGGTGAGAATGGAATTTTACGAAAGAAATGAGAATGAATCATGAACGTCGTATTAAGGGATTTTATCCTATTTTTCTTTAAATTTAATAAAAATATATAAGGGTACAATAGGTATTTCACTTGTCAATCATATCTCAGTTACTGCTAATTCAATCGTGCCCCATAAATTCAGCATCCATGTTCCATGTATTTTGCAACACACATTTACCTTTCCTTTTTTGAAGCATTCATTCACTTTTTCTCTTTTACATTGAAATTAAACAATCAAATCTGCACACCATGGATTGGGTTCGTTAATGGGTTTCGCTACCAAGATGAAGACAAATATGGTGAATTATTTTATTTTATTTATAAAATAGAAATATCAAAAAGGGATTAGAACAGAGGAGATTAGGAGGAAGATAGAACACACCGTCCTTGGGTTTCGAATCCCAGCCCCGTCCCGACTTAGCATGGACGACGGGAATCTGACTGAAGCAATACGGCTCCGGTGCCATTGATAGGTGACGCGACCACGATGAACACGGATCTGATGCTGCTCTTGTGTTGTTCAAGGTTCTCAGATGGTAATTCATATAGTATTAATTTTGGATCTACAATTCTTTTTTTGCAAAAATCTTATTGGAATCATGTTAAACATCTTAATAATCCTCTTGCATCCCAAGCCTAAATTTTTTCTTAAACATGATACACCATAGTACTTTTCAAAATTTATTCACACATCATAAAGTTGTGTTCTACTTTGCACTTTTATTCCTTTGCATCTTTGATCCCAAAATTTGCATTCTATGAAGAGAGACAAAAACACTAATAATTTGGATTTATGAACAAGATAATTCTAAATGCATATTATACACCCTAGCTATGCATCATAGAGAATTCAAGGCGTATTACACTATAACATGTTTTATATTGTTGTTAATGTTTAATCATTAATGAACAAACTGTGAAATTCTATTACTGTGCATTTTTTCTGCAAAGATAATGCATGTACATGATAAGACAATGCATTTTTAAAATCAAGTTAAAGAATTGTTGTGCATTCATAGAATAAAAGTGAATTTTATCCATCAGATGGTGAAATTCTCCTTATACAAATATGATGTATATCTATTTTATAGATAATGATTTTTTTGCATATGATGATGCATTCTAAATATTCTGTAATTTTCTAGAAATGCATTGAATGATGCAAATTGTAAGAGAAATAAATGCATATTTAATAGATCCAAGTGCAACGTTAGGAGTATCTTTGAAAAATAAATCATTGCCTATTAGCTCAAATGGTAGAGCGGTATATACTACGGGTGTGGGTTCGAATCCCGCATAGGCAAATTATTTTTCAAATTTTTATTAGACTCGTTCCAAATACAATACATTCTTTGCTTTTCTCATCACATACAAAGTAACTCAACAGTCATTATCCACTAACCCACTAATTAATAGAATAATATTTAAATAAAATTTAAATAACAAATACAATGCATATATATATATATATATATATATACATATATATACATATATATATATATATATATACATATATATATATATATATATATATCTATATTTATATATATATATAGGGGCTGGTTCCTGTAAGAATGCACCTTGTGGAGAGAAATGAGAATGAAATCTAGCCGTTCGATCTGATGCATTGTGCGGCTCAGATTGCAGCCTGCACTCAGATTTTGAGATAGTGCATTTTCAAAGGATTATGATGCATTTCGACGTGATGCATTTTTGAATCATTTTGGTGCATCTGATTTTGATGCAATCCTGGCCCTTAGATCTCACAATCTAAAGCACCAGATTCATTCTCATTTCTCTCCTAAGATTGCATTCTCACCGGAACCAAAATCTATATATATATATATATATATATATATATATATATATCCTTTTATTTATTATATAAACATAGGATAGAGTTAGGTACCCATTAATTTTGTGGCTTTTTTCCATCCAAAATAGTTGTACTCTTAGGCTTTAGGGTTGTACTATACCATATACTCTTCCCACTATGCCCTCACCGTTAGAAACTCCGTTACTAGTTCTAAATAGCTCATGCGCATCCATCCAAACGCAACCGAGAGTAATTGCGCAACCGAGAGTAATAGCAAATCATCCGATTAAATCCTAGCGATACGCAACCGAGAATAATTGCGCTTAATATCAAAGCAATTCATCCGATTAAATCCTAGCGATATCATCGCCTAGGAGTAAATGATTGAAATGGCGTTGCAATTTCATCGTTGAAATTCACAGATTCACGCTGCGTTGCTAAGGAGATTGTTTGATTTCCGCTTTCCCCCATAAAAATCAGGTAATCAATTTTCATTAATTTTAATAATATTTATCCGTTTGGTTGTTTTGAGGGCTTTAAATTCCAGAAAATACTCCTAATCAATAATAATCTAAACAGACGTTACTATTTTGTCAATCATGCCGGTATTTATAATCGGTTCTTGGAGTTCGAAAGAATCACAGTCCATAGCTTTGGTTCCAGGTTAGTCCATTATTTCAGGGTTTTTTAAAAATTCACCCTCTTTGTTTTTGAATGATTTTTTTATGCAATTGTGATGCTTATTTGCAATTACCCAGTTTATTTTCAATTACCAAGCAAATAATCTTTTTTAAAAAAAATTCCAGGTTCTATTTCATTTGCTCTATTTTCCAACATCATTGTTAAGGTAACTATTATTTCTTAACAGTATTATTTTTCACAGAAATCATTGTTAAGAGTATCTTGCCTTCATATATGTTGCCCTAAGCGATGAACACTTATGATAAGGCTATAACATTTTGAGTAAGAATGTCTCTTGTATAGTGTGTAGACTACATATTCTCAAACCCCCTCGTCTTTTAGTTAAAATACTTTTCCCACACAGCCCAGCCGTATTTAGGTTTACCACAAATGATTCTCCAAAAATAAATTGTCTATTTACTTGTGTAGAGTTGAAATGCTGCTTTGCGAAAGCTTTGTGGAACCCAAAATGTGGTTGGGGATGGTGTTAGCACATGTTTTATTTGGATAATACTACCACTTTGATTGAGGCAATCCTTGCGCAAAGCATTGAATATTTTGTCAATATTCAAGAACAGTAGTCAAGCCCAACTCATTTTAAAGGCAATCTGCTGTTTGGTGGGTGTTTGGGAACTGGATTTGGTGAGTGGGTAAAAATACAATTTTTCTAGATTTATTTTCATGTCCAGAAGTGGCTTTATATAGGGCTAGCAAACTGTGATTTCTTCCCATGTGGTAGGGTTTTAGGTTGTTGGTTAAGACCTCTCACTTTAGTGCTTTGGTAAATCCGCCAAAAGCTAGGATAAAGATTAGAGGTGATATAGGACCCCTTGGGTAACGCCTGTTTCTCTTGAGACGCTTAGTGTGGATACCATTGACAGGGATGGTATGTGTAGTTACCTTCAGCAAGTTTAAAAACCGTATCCAAATTTTGTCATATCTGAGATAATCCCATGAAATCCTATCAAAGCCTTTAGACATGTCCAACTTTAGGATGATATTTCCTCCCGTGTGTTTGTACTTGATGCCATTATTCAGCTCCGCAGCGGTAGGGTTTGTTTACTTATTCTCCTCCTTTTCAAAAAACCTCTTTGTTTTTCTGAGTTGTAAAGTTTTTTGTTATTATATTACAAATAAGCATTTTAGATTTTAAATTAATATCCATTCACAGTATACTACCCCTATTTTAGTTTATTAGTGAATAGATTAAGGTTGTTTATTTCTTTCCTGTTCATGCAGAAGATAAAGGCTTCTTATTTTTTAAGGTTGCTCATATTATTAAGATAAGTTCATAGACAACACTTTGGTTAAATCATGTTTCATTGGATGCAACATTGTGTTTTCATTAATAAGGAAACAACAAAGCCAGTAGTACATGAAAGACAACAACAAACTGGAAGTTATTTTAACGGGACAACAGAGTGGGTATAAAACATGAAACAACAAAGGATTGTCAAGAACTTTTTTCCGGCCGGGCTATAAAAAGAAAGAAACTTTTAATCTGGCCCATTCTCAAAGATTGTTTACTTTTTTTCAATCTTCACACTGGCTTTTGGTTTCTTGGCCAAGGGAGTTTGCATGTGTTCAAAGTCCTTAGAAACATATTGGTTCATATTAACAGTGGCTGAAGTTGAGCTTTCACCAGTAGACTGTTTCTTAACTGCATCATTCCCGATTGAGCCCTCACACGCATTTAAGTCAAAAGTCTATGTGATGCCTTTCTTTAGGTTACTGTTGACACAGTCCTACATCAAATAGTTTGTTTTTAGTTCCAACTACATACAATTACATGAATAAAAGTGCTTATAACTGTGTGTTAGGGATGGCAGGCAGATATTGTCCCAAAATCATTTTGTCATTAATTATGTTGTGAGGTGTATAGTTTTTTTCATTAAAACTGGATTGTGATGAATTGACTTCCACCTCAAAAAGGACCGGCTTCTCAATGATTGACTTAAACACAGTAGGAATTCGAGAGTCATCACGCTATAATTAAATACAAAATCATTTGTAAAAAAACAATTGGCTTAGGAATTTCATTGGTTTTTTACATGTTCAAGGGATGGCAACAAGAAAACTGATTACGCATATTAAAGACAATAACCAAGAATGGACGTGCAAAGTGCGGGTTTTGGAGAAGCGTAATATAAGAGATTCACAGTTTAGTCCCAATAATAAGTATAGACCGTTTATCTTGCAAGATGAAGAGGTAAGTTTAATATTCTCGTAATGGTATCAAAGAATGAAACCCACTAAAGTTATTCGATTAGTTTATATGTTTATTAATTTATGTACTTTATTTAACATAGGGAACAAAAGTATTTGCCATGGCAAACAGCAGAGACATTGATCAAGTTGATCGAGTACTTGATTTGAATAAAACTTACAACATAACTAATGCGGTTGTGTTGCCAAGTAAATATAATGTGCAACCGCCATCGCCACATTACAAGTATGTTTGGATGCTCAATAGGCAGACTTATATTGAAAAAGTCCCTGATTCAAATGAAATTGAAATATCAAACAAGCAAGAAGATACACTAACAGCATTTCATGAGTTCTACAACCTTATTGGAACTAAGTGTCCCATAAGTAAGTAATATATTTCAATTTATTTATAAAGAATTACATATTTTATATATGGAAAATCATTTTTCAATGTGCTTTTATTTAGATTTCATGGCCATTGTTCTAGAAAAGATGCCCCGAGAATATATTTCAGTTAAAAAGACGGTAAAGACAGCATACGAATTCACAGTTGTTAATGAAGAGTAAGCAATTATTAGCCGTAATTGATTTTAATATTTTTGTACATATAACCAACATTTGAAATGATTACCTTGACCAGAATGAAGCCAATGTTACTGACATTGTGGGAAGACTTTGCCATTTATCAAGGGAAGGAACTCATGTCTGTGTTGGATTGTGGCCGCTTCCCAATAATTTTGGGAAAGAGGGTTATTGTCAACAACTTTAATGGTAAACCATTATTTACCAACGTACATATTTTTATATTTATACTAAAAAGTCATTGCTAAATGAATACGGTGTATGACAGGTGTTTCCCTATGTGCTCAATCCGATTCCATCTTTGAAGTGAATCCCACGAATCCAAGATCTGAATCCCTTAAAAGATGGTATAAAAGTACTACTCTTATTAAGATAACTAGATGCTTAACCATTGAAAGGAATGTAAAAGTAATAAATCACATTAACAGGCGAGATGAGAGCATTGATCTTATGAAGAGGTACATCGACCTGAAGACATATAAACATGCCTTAATTGCGCTTGCATATCCTCCTGGCCAACTGAAGACCAAAGTTGTTAACATTGCCGAAATGAATACCCAGGTATGAATCGAGCATCAGCACTACAACCGTGATTTTTTAAAAAAATGCTACAAGACGTCAACATTTTGATTAATGTCTCCACATTTAGGGCAAAGGAGTTTGGGTGGAAGTACATATGCGAATTATAGACGACGCGGCAAGTTTCTACATTGGTTGTGACTATTGTAATCGAAAAGTTTGTGGGCCGGAAGGGGGAAGCTATAGATGTTTGGATTGTGGCAATCCTAATGCACGCGCTGAAAAGAAGTGAGTATTGTTAAATAATTTATAATCACCTCCAATGTTTATATTACAGTTTACATTAAGTTCATCGGACCAATTTTAGGTACAAGATGGAAGTTGAGTTGAGTGATGAAACGGGAGAAATAGTAGGAACAATTTTCGATGAAGATTTCAACCGCCTATTGCAAATCACAAACACAATTCATCGTTCAGGATCAATTGAGATTGCAAAGCTTCAAGCAAAAATGGATGGAAAGAAGTTTTTTTGTGAAGTCAGAGTTGACAATAAACAGTTCCCTGGAAAAAGTAAGCAAACTTACACTATCAATGGTGTTTGTGAAAATGTTAAGGTGTCACAACCAGTGGGCGTTCCAGCAAATGATGAGGGACCCAGTACTGGACGCCGGATTATAAGAACCTTGACCTTTGAAGAGCCATTAGAGGAGCATGAAGGAATTATAAATCCTGCCATTGAAGAAAGATGCGGAGCAAATGATGAGGCAACGAGTATTGGAGGAAGTATTATAAGAAACTTGAGTTTTGATGGAGCAATTCAGCAGTCTGAAGGTATTATAAATCCAGTCCTTGAAGAAGCAAGCCCACAAGAAAACCCATCCAAGAAACGCAAAACATTAGACTCTTAGGCTTTTACAGTCAAATAATTCAAAGTCACTGTTTTGAATTTTTTTACAGCTTGCTTTGTTCACTTTTGTTTGAACCAGATGAGGATAATTCCTAGATCTTTACAATTAATAATAAATACTTTGCATTATTACTGACTGGTGTTGCTACATTTAATGATTTACATGCATTATACATGATACAAACCATTCACATCTAAACCTTTTAACACTCACCTATACTAAATGGAAGATGCACCTAAATGCCTTTTGAGAATGGTGCCTGTTTTTATTTCCCTATTGTGAGTGACTAATTTAATGTCTGTGGCCTACTTTTTTGAAAGCTGAAACTCAATGTATACTGTGCGCTCTCCCATTAGGGTTGAGACGGACCAATCAGTTTCACTAAAAACACTGAAAATGACTTTTCTCCCATGATTATGATGCTACTAATGGAGGAATGATGTTTGGCTTGTGTGGTTTATCTCCTCTATAATGCTTTCACCTGTAGCTTGTGGAGAAAACTTTTAGTGTTCATGCACGGAGATGAAGCAAATTGAGTCATAACTGGGACTAAAAACTCAAATGAATTAGGTTTTTTAAATTAATAGGCCATGAATACTCAATATTAAGTCACCAGCTGTAAAAATGTTGAATCACTATAGCGTGTGAAAGAACATACATAATTAGTTACAATACTAGGGTTGTCCTCATTTGTTGCATGTCTCCAAAAAACGATATTATGGAGTCTTCTAATTAAAATAACTAATTTTAACCTGCACGTTAGAGCCTGGGCGTGCTAGACTATGAAAACCTGCCTTGGTCATACAAATATAAATTTAGAGTTTTTTTCCCCCATTATTTATTGTGTGTGGACTTTCCATAATTCATTTTGATCCTTAATTTCCAAAGCTATTGAAGAACTTAGTATCTTATTTCTTTTTTGAAATAAGTATTTCCGGATCAGCAATCACTAGTTTCTGCTGCTCACATGTGTGCATATTGGCATGTTTATGACTTTCTTCTTTTTGTCTTATTTTTGGTTCTCTTAAGTTTAGTTCAACTCATTACAATTTTTAAAAATCACAGGTCAACACTGCAAGTCTGCAACACACAGGTCGGTTTCCTAGAGTATATTCTAAACAAAATTGTCTCAATTTTTTATTTTTAGTAAAAATGCTTCTTTACTTAAAATATGAACTCTTATTGCTCAGAGAAGCATATACATTGAACTAAGAAAATATATCTCTATGTTTAGGATGATTAGATTTAAAAGATTTTGGATTTTAACAACCTGTTTTGAAGAAAAAACTTGACCTTTTGTGCCCATTTGCATGCAGTTTTTGTGTTCCAGAAGTGCTTTTTTGTTGAACTGTCAATGTTTATTGTTGAATCTATACTATAACATGACTGGTTGCTGATTTTCTATAAAACTTAAGGTGATATATCAAGTTTTTTACAATCTGATATTTATTCATATAAGCTGCAATTTGCACTAAATGCGAATTCTGTCAAAATCTGATTAAGAAATTAGGTTTCTACGTTAAACCTGCATATAAAGCTCCAAAGTAACATCATCCCCAATGGTAGCAAAAATATCTTTCTCTATGAGATAGTCTTACATAAGAAATCCGAGTTAAAACCTTTCTTACAATTCTTTTACCTTACTACCTTTAGACTGCCTCGCTCACAACCGTTTTTAAGCTTAGACTCTAGATTTCGAAGCCACAAATTGATTATAAAAGATAAATAGTCACTTAAATCCAACCCTACCCAAAAACCAATAAACAAAAATTCTAAGCCAGAACCTAACCGAAAAAACCATACTCAAACCAAAACCTAGAACCTAAGTAGAATTAACCTGAATTAGAACCCAACATATGTCAGCCATATGCTCATGAAAGTGATTTCTCTCTGTATTTCTTAGTACCATTTTAATTTATTTTGGTGTCTATATTGTTTATTATACAATGCTTTGAGCGAAATTGGATGTGAATATATACTGTTCAATCAAAGGTACTGCTAAAAGTGTGAGAAGTAAAAAGAAAATGGTTGGGAAAAAAACCACTGCTGGTGTTCGGATTGTTCACACTCAAATACAGATGTATTCAATGCTACGGTGTATTGCATTATTATGATTAAATGAGAAATATGACACATAAACTATTGCTTTGATGTAATTGTCTATCAAATTCTTAATTATTAATCTAAATTGAGAATATATACGGCCTAACAAACAACACCTCGTGCAAGTAGAACAGGAAAATGTTATTTCTTCTATCGCTAATATGTACTCAAATGTTATAATGGTCTACAGCATTAGATTCTGTACAACAACATCCATCTGAACTGATCCTCTTTTCCTTCTAGAGATGGGCAAATACTAATTGATCACTTTTCATCTCAACTTTTAAATAGATCACACCTACTCTCATCCAAATATAAAATATTTCTAAAATACACATATTATTTTAAGTGTTTTTTACCCCCTAGGGGTAATCCTTGCAGCAGATTATAATACATGCAACCAGGAGCGGCTGAAACCGGAGTTCAAGACAAAGTCAATAAACAAGGTACTACACAATTTCAATTGAATTTGAAAATATGATATTCAAATTAAATCAAATAACAACAATCAATCAGCAGTATTAATGGCAACCAATAATTGCTTATTTATAACAAGAATATTCTGATGACCTACAATTAAATGAAATAACAGTTTATTATCATTTCAAAATTTAAATCTCAATATAATGAAACTCTAAATTGCTTTTTAAAAACCTATCACAACCCTATAAATTCATACATCCACTACTTACTTTTTCCTTGCTTACATACGACTAAACCTTCAAACAATGATAATAATGTATACGTTTTGCTAATAGTTCATGTATCATTTTGTTTGGATTTGTCTTATGTAAACACACCTCTTGTTAAGAAACGCAAGGAATCCTTGGAAACAGACATCAAAGGTCATAGGAAATCTATCCCTCCCTACTTCAGGTGGAAAGGAAATTGCCCAACTTTAATATTTGAGACTGTTTTTTTGATAGATTTTACAGTCACATTTGATCATACCCTCCTCAACTGTAATTTCAGCATATGGATCTGGAACTATTTCAGGGATATGTCTTCTGGTCCTTCACACTCAGCAATGCTATCCCTCAGGCAACATCTTATTGTTTGGTGGATATCAGGTGACTCTAAAACCTTCAAAGGGAATGTCAGACTCATTCTTCCTGGCATCATTACTTGGACCATTTGGAAGGCTCGGAATCTACATATTTATGATGAACAGAGATGCACCAAGGAGGGGGTGATCCAACAATGCTTCAAACAACTTCAAAGCTGGTGTTGGGTTAACAGGAATAAGAAATGGATGATCCATGATAAAGACTTCACCGGATGGATGGGGCCTGGACCAGTATTGGACAAATGGAAGGAAATTGTTGTGTATTGTTTAGCTTGTATTCCTCTCCTTTTGTATTCCTTTTTCCCTCTTTCTTTTTAACAAAAGTTTCCTTATATATATATATATATATATATATATATATATATATATATATATATATATATATATATATATATCTGTGTGTGTGTGTGTGTGTTTGTGTATATATATATATATATATATACAGAAAATGTAAATATTAAAAAAAATAAACATTCTACGGAGTATATTTCTAGGATTCGTGACACAAACTTGTACGGAAGAATTAATACAAGCTAGTTCATAACTATAATTAATGCTTTTTGAACAGGACATTTTTTTACTTTATTTAAGAATAAAATAGCACAACGAAACAATGCCTTATACAACTTCAAAAATTGTAATACATGTCCACTATGATCTAAAACAAACCACAAAAACAATAAATCTATTGTATTATATATATAAGTAAAATTTGCACTAAATAGGACTAAAACATAATGACTTTCCTAATGTAGGACTTAAACTTTTTTATTCCCTAAATAGGACTTAATAATGACCTCGTGGGAGAAATAATGTCCAGTAATGATGGACATTTAGTTGAATAATGACTACATGATAATGACCAAAAGTCCTACATTGAGAAATAAAAACATATGGTCCTATATTGGGAAAGTCATTATGTTTTAGTCCTATTTAGGTAAATTACAAAGCAAAATCACAAATTGCAATCCAATTAAGCCGCCACATTCCTTAGATCTACGACCCAATTTCATTCCATCAAAAAACAATCAAATCCTGGCCACACAACTCTATCTACGGTTCAATTTTAATTTCGTTTAGATTAGAGAAATCTAGGCCCTTGATTTTCACCCCAAATCCTTAAAAAAACTGTAGATAATTTAAAAAAACAAAACTGCCCTTTCACGACTCTCTACGCGGCGGGAACATAGGGTCGCGCACGCCTCTACGCACTTCGAGTTTATCAGGCATGAAAAAATCAAACTGCCAAATGATCCCCCCCACTTCTTTCACGATGCCTTCCATATATTTGTAAAGTCAGACCAGTTCTTTTCTCTTTATAATTGTCACTCTTCTGTAAACATGTCTCCGAATTGGGTCTCTCTCAACAGGCTTCACGCTGCTAGACATCGGGATCCTGTGAAACTTCGCCTTTTGCGTCATTATGATCTCAAGTTAAGAAAGAGTGTATGTTACGAAGCACATACGTGCGCAACTCCACTTCTTGGAGTATTAGGACTCTTTGTCTATTTTGTTTCCTTTTCTAGTTTGGTAGCTAATTAGTTTCCTAGTAGGATTTTGACTCTCTTGTTTCTTCCCTATAAATAGAGGAGATGATCTTGTAAAAGGCAGAACAATTGAATACACAAACAATTTTCTCTCTAATCAATTTCTACATGGTATCAGAGCAAAGATCCTAACCTAGTAACACACGACCTGATCACCGTGCCAACAACGGTGAACCATGGCGGAAGAGAAAGTTGAGAAACCTCTCTCAAAAGGAAACGGCGAAGAAGAAGAGATAGGCGACAAATCAATTGCGAAAATCAGTCCTTACGAGTTGAAATCCGCGGACACTCCGGCTCTGATTATCACCCAGATCAAATTAACTGGTGATAATTATGAAGAATGGGCACGAGCAGTGCGGATCGCACTTCGCGCCAAAAGAAAATTTGGTTTCATTGATGGATCCATACCTCAACCAGAAGAAGATGACGAAGAAGCCGAAGAATGGTGGATTGTGAATGCTATGTTGGTTTCATGGATCTTCAACACCATCGATGGGTCTCTTCGAAACTCGATCACGCAAGTTGAAATAGCGGCAGAACTGTGGAACGATATTAAGGAGAGATTCTCTGTGGCGAATGGACCAAGAGTAAACCAACTCAAGAAGGAGTTGGCAAACTGTAAGCAAAACGGACAACCAATCGTGACATACTTTGGAAAGATGAAGACGATTTGGGACGAGCTTGGGGCTATCGAAAAGCTTCCAACTTGTATTAGGTGCCGTGGGTGCAAGTGCGGCACCTCCCAGTTAATCGAGACGTAGAAGGAGAACGAGAAGGTTCACCAATTCCTGATGGGATTGGATAATGAGGGATATGGAAGTATCCGATCCAACATACTGTCAGTCACTCCGTTGGCTCCACTTAATCGAGTTTACTCAACGGTGATACAACAAGAAGGGATAATCAAAGTTACTCAGGAGGAAGAGAAAAACCCTGTTGGGTTCGCAGTAATAAACAACCGAGACAACAACCGAGATCTCAAATGCAAACACTGTGGACAAACAGGGCACGAGATGAGTGGATGCTTTCAACTAATTGGTTACCCGGAATGGTGGGGTGACAGGCCCAGATTCCAGACAGCTAGACGCGGGGCAGGGCGTGGAGGAGCAACCCGAGGCAGACAAGGGGGCAGAGGCTCGGGAGGAGGACGCGGCAACCGTCCAGTCAACGGCGGTGGCGTGACAGGTCCAGCCGCTCACACAGCCCGCGCACGAGGAAATAATGGACAGAAGGAGACAATCACTTCCCAACAATGGAACACTTTAATGGAATTGTTGAAAGAGAAAGAGGTGCCTCTTGACAACAAATTTTCAGGTATTTCTACCTCTTGGATAATTGATAGCGGTGCTAGTCAGCACATGACAGGAGACAAAGGAGAATTGTAAGACATTGAGCAAATAACTCCGTGTTCGGTTGGGTTACCAAATGGAGAACGAGTGACGGCAGGGCATAAAGGGAGTGTTTGTTTGAATGGAAAAATTACCCTGAAAAATGTGTTGTTTGTGCCTAAGCATAACTGCAACCTTATATCTGTTTCGCAACTTCTAGATGATAAAGGACTAATTGTTTTGTTTATTAATAAAATTTGTCTTATACAGGACTGTGCCTCGAAGATGGTGATTGGAATGGGTAAGCAGCTTGGAGGAATATACTACTTCCAGAAGGGTGTGAGCGATAAAGTCTGTACTGTGAAGGCGGCTGGAGATGCGGATATCTGGCATAAGAGATTAGGACATCCTTCCCATACTGTTGTTCAACTTTTACCCCAAGTACTTTCTACCAAAAAGAATGTTCATAATATTCCTTGTGATGTTTGCTTTCGTTCAAAACAATGTCGTGATTCCTTTCCTGAAAGTTCAAATAAATCTCTTGTTCCTTTCTCCTTAATTCACTGTGATTTGTGGGGTGGATACAGAATTCCTACACGAACTGGGGCTAAATATTTTTTGACTGTTGTGGAGGACTTTTCTCGGGCAGTTTGGGTCTATCTACTTAACAATAAAGATGAAACTCCCTCTGTTCTCCATAATTTTTTTGTGATGGTGGAACGTCAATTTGATAAAAAGGTCAAGGTCATTCGTAGTGATAATGGAACTGAGTTCACATGTATGAAACCTTTCTTTCAGTCACAAGGAATCCTTTTTGAGTCCTCCTGTGTAGGAACCCCTCAACAAAATGGGAGAGTGGAACGCAAACATCGTCACATTCTTAACGTGGCGCGTGCCTTGCGTTTTCAAGCAAACCTTCCCATCAAGTTTTGGGGAGACTGCATCTTGACCGCTGGTTATCTCATCAACCGTACACCCACACCATCACTCCAAAACAAAACTCCTTACGAAATGTTGTTTGGGCAACCTCCCTCATATTCTCATCTTCGAACTTTTGGATGCCTAGCCTATGCACATAACCAAAAACATCGTGGAGACAAGTTTGCTAGTCGCTCAAGAAAATGCCTTTTCCTTGGTTACCCCTTTGGCCAAAAAGGTTGGCGACTGCTCGATTTGGAAACCAATCAGATCCTGATTAGTCGGGATGTCAAATTCGTCGAGCAGTCGTTCCCATTCTCTTCCACTCAATCTACAGATGACACCCCCAAAACCTCGACAACTGAACACTTCGTGTTTGAATCAGATGACGATGAGGCAGCACCAGCTGTGCCTAGCGAGCACTTCACGCCGCCGTCGTCCCAGCCAGTTCCCATTCCCGTCGAGGGCACCACTGGAGCCGATGAAACTGAAACTCGCCCCACCAATAATGAACCCTTGACCACCAATAATACCACCGAAGCAGATTCCCTCGATAGCCCCACTGGCGTCGCAGAACCCACTAATCTCTTACGTCGGGGAACACGCGAACGGCAGCCTTCCACACGGCTACGAGACTTCGTTGTTCACACCATTCAACAACCTCAAGCTGCGTCTCCATTCCCTGATCCACCTTCAGGTACGGCTCACTGTATTACAAATTTTATTAATTATAACAATTTTTCTTTGTCACATAGATGTTTCCTAGCAGCTATAAGTGCAGAGGTAGAGCCCACACATTTTTCAGAGGATGTGAAGCACTCCCATTGGCGAGCAGCAATGAAGGAAGAAATGAGAGCACTGGAGACAAATAAAACATGGAGTCTCGTGCCACTCCCTCCAGGGCGTAAAACAATTGGGTGCAAATGGGTGTTCAAAATCAAGCATAAGTCAGATGGTTCTATTGAGCGGTACAAAGCACGCTTGGTCGTACTTGGGAACAAACAAAAGGAGGGCATTGATTTTAAAGAAACTTTTGCTCCTACAGCCAAGCTTGTCACCGTTCGCACCTTGTTGGCTCTGGCTGCTGCTAGGAACTGGCACTTACATCAAATGGATGTACACAATGCTTTCTTGCATGGAGATCTTAAAGAGGAGGTGTTCATGCAGCTACCGCTTGGCTCTTCCCCACGCTATAATGGGCTGGTCTGTCGTCTACGCAAAGCCTTATATGGATTGCGCCAGGCACCACGCTGTTGGTTTGCTATGCTAACATCCTCCTTACGCCGGTTTGGGTTTCAACAATCTAAAGCTGACTATAGCTTGTTTACTTACGTCAGGGGGGGAGTTGAGCTCTATGTCTTAATTTATGTTGATGATTTGGTGATTGCGGGAACCAATGAGACCTTCATACATAAATTTAAACACTATCTTTCTGAGTGTTTTCATATGAAGGATTTGGGAGAACTTAAATATTTCTTGGGGATAGAAGTGGCTCGAAACTCCCAAGGCATTTTTCTATGCCAACGCAAATATGCTCTGGATATTTTGACTGAGTCTGGTATGCTTGGAGCCCGTCCGGCCAGCACACCATTGCCTGCCAATCATCATCTTGCACTCGCCACAGGTGCCGAACTCGCCTCTCCTGGCCGTTATCGTCGTCTAGTTGGCCGCCTGATCTACTTAACAATTTCTCGGCCAGATTTGTCATATGCAGTGCATACTCTCTCACAGTTTATGGGTACACCGCGTCTGGAGCATTGGGATGCCGCACAGCATGTTCTTCGATACTTGAAATCAAGGCCAGGTCAGGGCCTTTTTCTACCAGCTGATTGTGATATGACTTTCACCGCTTACTGCAACTCCGACTGGGCTAGTTGTCCTCTAACGCGGCGTTCAGTTTCTGGCTACTTTATAAAACTTGGCAATTCGCCTATTTCTTGGCGCACAAAGAAGCAACATACCGTCTCTCGTTCGTCTGCTGAGGCCGAGTACCGTGCAATGGCTACCACTGTATGTGAATTGAAATGGTTACGGTCCCTTCTCCTATCGTTTGGCATCCCGGTTAGACTACCTATGACACTTTTCTGTGACAGTCAAGCAGCTCTTCACATTGCCGCTAATCCCGTGTTTCATGAGAGAACCAAGCATATTGAAATTGATTGTCATTTTGTGCGTGATGAAATTCAACGTGGCATTTTGCAAACGACACACATTGCTTCTGTTGATCAACCTGCTGATATGCTGACCAAGGCCCTTCCTGCTACACCTTTTCATCATTTGTTGTCCAAGCTGGGTACTCGTGATCCACACGTACCCGCTTGAGGGGGGGTGTTACGAAGCACATACGTGCGCAACTCCACTTCTTGGAGTATTAGGACTCTTTGTCTATTTTGTTTCCTTTTCTAGTTTGGTAGCTAATTAGTTTCCTAGTAGGATTTTGACTCTCTTGTTTCTTCCCTATAAATAGAGGAGATGATCTTGTAAAAGGCAGAACAATTGAATACACAAACAATTTTCTCTCTTATCAATTTCTACAGTGTAGAAAACACAGCCTATGCCTACGAATCAATTTTTCAAGATGAGCAGATTCATATCAATTTCTTAATACAATAAGCGTTATGAGTATACCTTATTGAACTATATTGTTTACTAAATTTAAAGCTAACACTAAATAAATGGAGTTGGTATAGGGTATTGGCAAGGGGAATCTCTACTCAAGAGGTGGTGAGCATGAGTGCATCTTCATCACGCATAGGCCCTCCAACATTTGATGTACACACTTAAGAAGAGATTATATTATTGAAAATTTTGAGGTATATACCTTACATTTTCAGTTTAAAGAACATATTGTCTCACTACATTACCACTTTAACAAATAGTAACCTATTCTCTAAGAATATCTATTTAAGATTTTCTAATAATTAATTCATAATAAAATCATTTCTCATGTTTAAATACAGTTTTAAAAAAATAAAAAAATCTGAATGTAGAATAAGGCCTCTTTAAAATGCCTTTACCATATATTTAGAGTAGATTCAATTAAACATGTTGACCAAACAGATTAATCTGTTTTTTTGTCTAAAATTGCTGATAAATTTACCTTTTGTTTTAAAAACTAATTAATCTGTTTCTATTCAAAGAAGAAAAGTAGCCTTTGAACATGTCACTTTGAACATAATATTCTACTCCCTCCGTCAAATAAATTGTTACCCATTTTGACTAAAGTTGAAATTAAGGGAGGGACAATTTTGTGTTGACTTTCCCAAAATAACCTTGATGTGATGGGTAAAAGTAGGATGTGATGTATGGATTATTAGAAAAAAGATATGATGTGATAGGTAGGGTTTGAAAAAGTAAGGGGTAGAAGTGGTTTTTTAATAGAAATGTGTAAGGGATTGTGGGACAAATTTTTTTTGAAACGTGTAAATCTTTTTGGGACGGAGGAAGTATTAAAGAAGATAATTGTATGAATTAGAAAGATTACTTCAGTAAACCATTTGCTACTGACAGAGAATTGCACTCATATTCATGCCAGATCCCCTGAAAACTCAATTTTCACAATTCGATAAGCCTGCACATTTAAAGAAATAAAATTATTATACTTCAAGTTGCTTTTATATTGAACTTGGTTACACACAAATAAGCACAAATAATGGAGCAGCGTGGACTTACCCAGGTCCTCGTCACTGCTGCCTGACGGTCGCCAGAGGAAGTCGCCGGAATAGGTACAGCTCGAGTCCATCGTCGGAATAATTGAGGTCATTCCCTGTCACCGCCGGTCGCTGCCTCTGTGATCGTAGATGCCAAATTGCTGGAATTTCGCCGTTATGGGTCTGCATCGCTGCGTTTGATGAGGGTCGCCGGGGATTGTTGTCACTGCTGCTCTCATCGCCGATTGGAAAGAATTGGAGAAGAAGGTTGTAGCAGCTAGGGATCTGAGAAGAGAGGGGCAGCGGAATTCTTTGATCGAGGAGAGAGAAAAAAGAGGCTAAAAGTAAAAAAAATGAAATTAGGAAGAGGGAGGTGAAATTGGGAAGAGAGAAAACAAATTTAGGAAGAGGGAAATGAAAATTTTTAGAGATTTAGGGTGTGTTTGGTGTGGTTTGATGATGATATAAGATATGAGTTTTAAAATCTATGAGAAATAATGTAACACATTAATCTGTTCAGTTCTCAATAAATCATTTCAAAGTTCATATCATAAATAAATTCTTTACTTATTCTTAATTTGGTTCTGTATTAGGTTCTCAATCAATATTACATAAATAGTCAATATTTGGATTTATATTTTATGAGATTTATCGAGATAATGATATTAGATATCAAAGTATATTTCATTTCGTTCCAAAGGCCAAAAATAAAATAGGAGAGATATAATCACAACAGATTTGATGAGAGATATAAAATATGAGGACCGAACACATCCTCCTAATTAGTGTTTCTGATATTTGATTATATCTTATTACATAATCACAACAGATATGATGAGATCTGATTTGATTAAAAATAATCTGATTTAGTATTATTGTAGTCATATGTAGTTTTATTTTGGATTGAATATGATTGTAGTCATGCATTTAAAGATTATATCTGGCAAATAAAACGCAACCTTGACAAGTAAATTAATTTTTTTGAAGATTAGATCTGATCTTATTGTATTTGAATTTGATTTGATTCGATTAGATCTGTTTTGGTCTTATTCGATCTAATTAGATCCGATTTGATGCATTTAATGTCTATATCACAAAATAAGACACAACCAACACAAGTAAATTGTTTTTTAAAATATTAGATCTGATCTTATTAGATTTGATTATAATTTGATTTGACCAGTTTTGGTCTAATTCGATCTAATTTGATCTAATTTGATGGATTTATAGATTAGAGCAGGCAAACAAGACACGACCTATATAATTAAATTATTTTTTTGAAGATTTGATTTGATCTTAATATATTTGAATTTTATTTATTTGATTAGATCTATTTTTTTATTCAATCTAATTAGATCTGATATGATGCATTTAAGGGTTAGATAAAGCAAATATGACACGACCTATATAATAAAATTGATTTTTTCAATATTTGATCCGATCTTACTAGATTTGAATTTGATTTGATTCGATATTTTTGAAGATGTGATTTAATCTTATTGGAATTGACTTTGATTTATTCCGATAAGATCTGTTTTTGTCGAATTTGACCTAAATAGTCTAGTTAATTATATTAAAAACTCTTTTAATTTGATCTAGTCTAATATGATATGATGAGATCTGAATTTATTAGATATCATCTAAACAACATATAAAAATGTTAAATTGAGATGCAATGGCTCACATGAAATATGCAAGCAATAAGACATATACGGTTGAAAAACCTATATACTGCTGAATAACTTATATATTTGTTCAAATTAAGGTATGTAAGTCATTTAGACAAATTCTTCCAATTTTTGCAGTTCCTTATAATTTTTTTCAACTTCTTCAAGTTTCTTCCATTTATAAAAACTGTTTAAAGTCAAGTATTTTAGCATGAGTAAAATATAAAAATGCACCAAACTGATTTTTTTTATTAAAGTAGATTTTTGTGTATGAAAAACGACAAAACTTTTTTATCTTAAAGACATTGATTAAGATTACATGATTAAGAATATAATAATAATACTAAATTATAACAAAAAACAATTACGTAGTAGAACTTTATAATAATAATAGTAAATTATAACATTTGAAATTTTTTGATAACTTTATATTCTAACTAATTTCATTTATTTTAAAAAAATCTATATCATATGAGAGTAATTTTCTATTCTCTCTGTTCCAAAAAGATAGTTATAGTTTGACTTTTTTGGTCAAACTGTGACACATTTTGAACTCAAATTAAATATAATTTTAAATAACTATATGTTACTATAAAAGTTTAATATATCAAAACTACATTTCAAAACAAAAACCTATGTTTAATAACTTTATATTGTAACTAAATATACTTTTTTCACAAATTATGGTCAAAGTGTTGTAGAATTTGACTAAAAAAGTTAAATTGTGACAATCTTTTTGGGATGAAGAAAATATAAATTTGGTAAAGTTTTTTAAAGGATAAATTTAATAAACTTTCTGTTCTGAACGAAATGAACAAATTTCAAAAAAATTTGATTCCCCTAAAAAATTTGAAGTCCCCTCAAAAAATATTGTTAAGGATGAAATTTTGTTTAGGTGGGAAAAAGTGCGCCCAAAAAAAAGTCAAAAAATTGGATTCCCCCTAAAAAAAATTAGACTCCTTGCCGAGAACCTGTCCAAGTACATTCCTCGTCCTCTTTCTTGGATCTCTTTGCTTTCGACATTCAACCCCCCCAAATCCTCCCCCAAATTCTCCCCGAGTGTAAATCTCCTCCATGCTTTCCAGATCCGCTGCCGTGGTGATGATGGAGCTATTGTCCACTACATCTTTGGCCATCGAGAAGAAGTCGTGTCCTGTGTCATCTTTGAAAGTATCGTTAGTGTTTCCAAGCTCGCTGACGTCTAAGCCGGTATGTGTTCTGCAAAATCGTCCTTTGCCCAGCAGGAATGGCCTTTTGTAGAACTTTTGTATGCAAATGGATCATCCTTAGCATACGTTCATGTACAGAGCTCTTTTTTTACAGATTTGGATCTTGATTTTACAGAATTAAAGGCAGCCTTCTAGAGGTTACTATTCATCCACAACCTTGAAAGTTTGAATCAACCTTGATTCGAGATCAATTGAAATCCAATTTGTTGGGTATTTTGAGCGGATTGGAATGCTCTTTAGAGGTATGAAGTTTTGCTTCCATTCCAGTCAAAGATTCCTTTGAAACGTGCGAATTCTAGGACTCGGTACATAGTTTACAGTGTAGCATTGCAGCCCAGTTTTAACCAGGTTTCTTGATTGTGTTTTCTCCACTTTTTATGGTTCTTGGTCAGTTTTTAAGGTCCATTAAGTAATTTTTTTAGATTTCTGATTCATATAATCAATACTAGATTCCCTGGAATTGTAGGTTTTGTTACATTGTTCATGTTCTTCATTACTATTCATTATTTACTGTTTTGTTGAGGACTGCCTGGCCTTGATTGATTTAGGTGTTTGTCTTCTAATATAGCTTGTGAGGGTAGCTTGATGGAAAAATATATGTTAAATGAAGTATGATGTATATCATACTCTAGGATTAGTCTCCACTACATTTTATGCCTCGAGATCCATAGGTATCGATTCTAAATGGTACTAATTTTGATTTTTCTTCTCCATTAGTGCAGCAGCAACTCCTACAATCCCCGCCTCCCCTTCCTACCTCATGTGTTTCAATTTAGTGCAGCAGCAACTCCGACAGAGATAACCCTGTCCAATATCAACCATACTTCACCCCTGCCAAGACCACTCGGACAATTGCAGCGTCCCAGGCAGCAGCAGGAAGATTTGGTTATGGTTTATACTGAATTTGAAAGTTTGCAAGGTATAGTTTGTACATAATACTTTCTTCTCACAAGTTTAATGTTAGTAGATGTCATTGTGTTACTGCTATCTTTTTTCTGTGTTTGGTGAATAGATGAGTAGAGTGGTGTTAGATTTGATAACTTGGAACAGGTAAGGGAGCAACACTAAAATGCATACAGAATATAACATGCCTGAGAGCATTTAATTAAAATCATTGGTTATGCTTGTTGATCATCTACTATACAATAAATAAAATAAGATAATATAAGAATGACGCTATCTTTCATAAAAAAAATCTACCAAGACAGATTCTAAAATACTCTATATAACAAGGCAGAACATGATACATTGATACCTGTGAGCAGAATACTCCATGTTAACAGATGCACATTAATTCCACTCTAATTCTCTAGTATCAATCTGATAAGTAAGGTTGCCAACAAGGAGGTGATTGAATGTCTAATACACCGAGTGATTTACTTTCATTATTGTGATGTTATTTACTCTAGTGATACCCATGATATGATTATGCCTAATCTACAGGTAGCTGTAACACCTGATATTTGTGAATCCCCACAATGTGCATTTAGTGGAGACAACGTGGTCTCTTCCGTCTTTAAATGTGAAAATCTTGAACATAATATTTTGTTTGAGTATAGTGTAAACAATTCAAATAGAAGTATTGAGGACTATCCATTGGATGCATTGAGGACTACCCAAATAGATGTAGGCACACTTCAATCAGATGGTGTTTTGTATTCTATCTTAATAAAAGATTAGGCTTAATTCATCAGTCTTTTACCTTCACTATATTTTGAAAAATTTCCAGGATGATTATTTGCCATAATGTTTTCAAGCATTAGAGAGGAATGCAAAATCACACAAGGACCAAGCACTCCAAAAGGTATGAATATTATTATCAAATTGTATGAAAAAGTTTGTTTGTGCGTGAAGTACAACTAAGTTCAGTTACCACATTCACACATTTTTATTGTTTTTTATTATTAGGTTCAATTGCAACCAACTACTAGGTCGATCCACAAGAGCGAGGCTTTCATGAAGTAGCTAGATAAAGGTTATTGGTATCAATCGATTACTACCTTCAAGATGACATGTATGAGATAATGATTGAATTTGCACGACATTTCATGAAGTATCATGCAACTTGAACAATTCAAGTATGACATGGGAACAAATGAGTAATTTAGTTGGTTCAAAGAGCAATTATAATGTATTTTTATTTATGTAAATATTAAATTATTAGATGATATTAATATTTTGAATGTATGACTTTAGATATTACTCTATGTATAATTTATTTTTATTTCGTGATTAATATTTTATAATTAAAATAAATTTTAATTATTAAAAATGGGTGCCTATGATTTAGAGAGACAATACGAAATAACTGTTGTTGGATAAACAATTCGACCACTATTCAACTTGATAGTTTGAATCATATACGGACAACTACATAAACCTGTAGTGTTAATAATTGCTAGACATCTGGAACATAGGGTTGTTTGAAACGAAACAAAATAGTCTTCTACCCTATAGATATACCACACAAAATAATAGTTGTTTGACGCAAATATTTCTAGTAGTCTTCTGAGCAGTTGTCTGATAACTAAATTCGACTACCGTTCAAAGATATAGTTTGAATATTTCAAGGGCAACTAAACAAAACCATAGTGTTAATAATCGTTATACAACTAAAATAAATAGTTGCTTAAAATAACACCAATGTAGTAGGTTCAATTCGTACATGCAACACAAAATAATAGTTGTATGACGAAAATAATGATTGAACAGTAGTGTAATTAATTACCAACAATTACACAGATAAATCACACAGATCAACCACAATAACAATTATGAACAGAATTTCAAACATATATGCATATTCTAGTGTTAGATGTCCACGTACTCACCTCGTTGGTTCGATTCAATCGAAGGAAGCGTCACTCGCGGCAGGTCACCCAGATTGGTCGTCGAAACTGCCCCTGCTGGCCGGATTGACTTGCTGCCCGAACTCAGTCAATCAAGGCCCAGACTTTGCCGGTCGCTGGAGGTCACTGGCCGGAGCACCGCCGCTGTTTAATCGCCGGAATTCGTCGGTCAACGCTGCCGCTGGTTCTGTTCACGGCCAACACCCAGTCACCACCATCGCAGAGATCGCCAGAGTCACTGCCCAAGCACCGTCATCGGTCTGGCGCTTCGCTTCGCTGGAGCAGACGTCGCTGGACAGGGGGGTCGCCGGTGGAATTCGTCACCGTCGCTGCTAGACTTCTCACCGGAGGGAAACTAAGGCGGTCATCATCGCTGCTATCCAAACTCGTCGAGGTTGCCAGGAGAACCGCCGCCAATAAGTTTGCAGATTCGCGCTGTTGCTCGGCTTGATCGGAGAAGAAGAGAGCTGGAGGCGGCGTCGAATCGTAGAAGAACAAGAAGATCCGGGTCTGAGAACGAGAATGTTATATTTATATACCTAGGGTTTTGTGCTCTGTAATTTTAAAATAACGTGTCTCAGTAAAACACACTTTTCGGGCCAACTTGCTCCGAATTGAGATCTGTTCGCGTCGTTGGATTTGATTCGTCGATCCCTTCCCAACAATATAACTTTTATATTCAATTGACAAACATTTATACGTTCCACTTGATCCGTCTCAATTCTTTCAATTAATTAGTACCAATGAGTCCTTTAATTTAAATCCTTACAAATATAATCAGATTAGTCACGTTACATTGAAACGATTAGGAACCCTAAAATATCTTTTAGTTCTTTAAAATAATAAGTTATCGTCAATAAATAATTTTTATTTATTTAATTATCGATTAACTTCTAGACTGATTTCTGGGGCGTTACATGATCACCTCAGGCTGAGGCTGCGTTACAGGTCTCTTGAGCGCATGCTGGTCCCGAAGCTCTTTTCCCTCACAATCTAAGCTATCTGGGTGGGGTAGCTCCAAACCCCGGATGTGGCAGTAGGGATGGTGTGCTGGGTACTAGAAGAAGTAGACAGGGGGCTGGGCGAAACAGAAGTACCATCATCCTTATTCTTCTTGGGAAGGAAATCATCGTCAGTGACTCCTTCCCGTGGCAGTTTCTGGGACGGAATGGGCCTTCTAAGCCCAGAAATGGCAGAGATGGGAACGGCCTCCAAGGCAGCAACCGGCTTGCAAACAGCCAGGGCAGTGGAGTTGCCTGGGGATTGATTCCCGGAAGAGCTCATAGCCGGGTTGGATTCTGCGGCAGGAGGAGCCTTCGATCTTTCAGGGGAAGGCTCCCCTTCAAATGGAACCGGGTCAGGACCCAGGGGGTAGTAGAAACCCGCCTTCTTGTACAACTTGGCGTCTTGAAGAGAGTGGTGTGAAATTAAACCCTCTTTCTCTCTCAAGGCACTATACACTTCTTCCGCCAAGTGTGCTGCAGCGAATTTCGTCCGGGAAATGGAACGACGGAGAACGACACCCGGTAGATCAAGGGGACTGTGAGCCGGGAACTCAATGACGGAGTACCTCTGGGACCATTTGTCGTTCTTGAACTCAACCCTCTCAAAAATGGGGGCATGGGAATGAGGATACAGGCTGTAAAAAGGAAAAGACCCACCAATACTGAAGAGTAGGGGTGGACACGGTACGGTTCCGGGACGGTTCCGGTTCCAGAACCGCTGGTTCCGGTACCGCCACCCCTTGGTACCGGTACCGGACCGGCCGGTACCGGTTCCGGTTCCGGTACCGCCGGTTCCGGTTCCGTTTCCGGTACCGTTTCGGCCACCCCTAATTTTGTTTTTTTTTTTTTTGCTTTTTTATTATATTTTTAAAATGTAAAATTGTAAATGTGTAATTGTGAAAGGAAATGATGAAATAAAAAAATCTAAAAATGAAATTGATAAAGGAAAGAATGAAGTAAAAAAATAAAAATAAAAAAAAATTAATAACGGT